GAGGTTAAGGATGGGAAGGCAGACCCTTCCATGCATGCAGATCCCTGCCACCATTTGCAAATCATGTAGTTGGAAATTTTGCAAATACAGAGGAACTTGCTCTTGCAGCTTCCTTGAGACCCTCCTTCATTGTCTAACCTCAGTGTTTCTGATAGAGAAACTGTCTCCCCTTGCAGAACGGGGAGAGCAGCCTTTGCATCCCCCGGCCGCTAAGATACTGCTACTCAGCTGACTGGGGGTGGTGGCTGGCGAGAGTGTGGCTGCCAAATCTGTCATTGCACATTTGGCTTAAGAATTGAAAAAAAGCAGTGGAGCAGTAAACCACTTCTAAAAGTAGTGCACTACAAGCAGAGGGGTAGAGCTGGCCAGTCTGCCTGCTTCCCAGCCTGAATCCATAGAGAAAAAAAAAAAAAAAAATGAAAAAAGTGAAGAGCAGCAATAATTGTGCCATGAATCCAATGGCTTTAGCCCACTTCTTCCTCAAGGCTCATGTCCTTTGGAAAGAAAACGTCAAAGTGACCATTGAGTTAGCAGTTTCAGCAGATGTTGCTCTGAAAAGGTATGGGGACAGCCACACCAGCAGAACTGAGTCTTCTGAATCTGAGCTGAACTATTTTTCCACAGCGAGTTCTGTGATTGAAGAGTCTCCTGAGCTGTCTGACACTGTGTTCGTAACACTAGTGTAATGTATAGGTGAGCACTACACTTAAACTGCATGAAGTCTTTGGAGATTTTTCTCCATCAATTAAACAATCTCACCACTAACTAAAGATTGCATTTCAGTTGCATTAAAATAATTTTTGTGACCTTGGAATGCTAGGAGGTTTGATGTCCTAACAGGAATCCTGTCTATTGGCTAGACAGTTATCCTCAATACGTGTGTAAGGGGAGGTATGCGACTGAGGCCCTGGGAGTTTTTAAAACTAGAAAGCACTGTTACATTTACTTACCTTGGCCTCTGGCTTAACAGGCGTCATTGATTTTTGCCAGTAATTGCTGTAGTAGAGGAAATTATTCTTTCTGCTGTAGGTGAGCACTTCTGACCTTAGTAAATGACCTTTTGTATGGCCAGGAATTCCTAGGTTTAGTGAGTTTTCATCGGGTCCTATAAACCCATATAGCAAAATAAACCCATAACAAAAAGATGCTGCTTGTGCGGTAAATAAAACTTCTGCTCAAACCTGAGACTAAAATAGATAGATGGCCAGTTTCCATGTAAAGATCCCAAGTGTTTTATGAATTTTATCACCTGTCTGGCTATGGAGCCAGCCAGTGCTCTAGCCAGAATGTAGCTCTATAAAAACCAGTGTCTATACTCAAAGCAGGATGTTTAAAGAGGCTACACTGAATCAATAGCACCGCTAGGACTGAGTGAAGGAAAGCAAAGACGGACAGTGGACAAAAGCACTTCACAGAAAATACTCCT